AAAGATAGATCTGTAAAGGCGCATCTTCAAGCAATATGGAGGAATTGTCTATAAACTGCTCAGCATCGCGGAGAAAAGGCAAGATGTTAGTTGAAGATGGCTACAATCTATGTCAGTCGGCAATTGAAGAAGTTGCATTTGCGAAGATTTTACGTCTGTAATCTCTTTAAGGCCTTGTATTGTGCCGGTGCACAGGGTAACCCTTGTGCTGACGTTATGGTTTAGCTCATAGAGTATGAGACGGGGGGTATGCCATGTATAGTAGAAGGAAGTAATTCAAGTTCAAGAAAGAAAAACCTCAAGCTTCTTATCTATTCCTCTCTCTCCCTCCTCCCGCTGCGATAGTGCAGGCAGCAGCTAGGAAAGAAGCTTACGATGTCGTCCACCACTGTAGAACTCGTGGGTGATACACCCCCCCTTCCGGTTCAGTATCAAGCGATAACAAGTCCACGAATTACCTATAAGACTCATAGCTTCTATCCAATGGAGAAGATGCTTCCTGAGAAAGACTTGCGTCGTATCTCCGTCGACAACGGTTTGCTTGCTCTGCACGAGATGATGCACTCAGTAACAACATGCATACTGTATATCAGATGTCAAGCTACTAGCGATCGTCGCCTTGCCGATTTCCCTTACTAAGACCCCAGGCCCTGACAGGTTGCACATGTTCTCATGTAGGCCATATAATCCAGACATCAGCTTGAGGCAACACGTGGCTAGCTTCTTGTGTGTCTGTTTGGTCTATCCAGAATAGGCTTTTTCCTTGTTTTTGAGGGGCGACAAGGAATTCGCGGAAAGACAAGTATAAAAGTCTAGTAGATTTATTCTTATTGTTAGGGATATTAAGAACAGAGTGCAAAGAGTCAAAATAAGACTTAACCTCTTCTTATAGAACTTAAAGTAAGTAGCTAAGTAAAATAGCAGAGAGTAAACTTTCGAGTGTTACAAGTAACAAAAAGGATTCTCTCCTTGACAAATGACGAGATGGCGGAAGGCCTATGGACGTCCACGTCAGAAGGTAATGATCAACGCGGGGCGCTGATCACGTGACGTGGCATCTCGCCAAGGCAGGACATCTGGAGATGCCAGACCCTCAGGAGATGCCAGGACATCAGGAGATGCCAGGACATCTGGAGATGCCAGTAACATCAGAGATGTCAAGGGCTTGGCCAGATGTCAGGACTGGAAGCAATGAGGATATAAGGATGGATGGATTTCATTATTTACTCTCGTTGTGGTCAACTCAAATTGTACTTTCTTACTAGTATCTTTACTTAACAAGATTGTCACAAGTTAGTCTATCAAATAGATTAGTCTTGTCAAACCCTCCTTAAGCACGCCAACTCCACTGTATCGCCAGACAAGCCTCACGGAACACTAACGTAATACTCACCTGCCTTAGTGCGGACCAGGATAGAGAAGTATAGACCCATACCCCGTGTAACACTACCTATAAAGGTCTCTTATAGTTATTACTAGTACTAAATTAGACTTATCTTCGTCTTCTTTTTATAGTAATAAAGTCTTTAGAGATTTCTAAATTAGTAGCTTACTAGCTTTCTTCTCTAAAACGGTTTAGTCCTAGAGTTAGACTAATTTCTAGGGTAGTTCCTTAGAACTACTAGGTTTTTACAGATTAACTATTAGTAGTTATCTCTAAGGTTAATAGGTTATTAGTAGTCTCTAAGTCTCTACTATAGCGCACTCTATACGACTTTTATTAAAGTAATCTACCTCACGAGGAGCGCAGAAGTTCTAAACCTAAAGGCTTTAGCCAGCAGGAGATTAATAGGATCCTACCTAGGTAAATATTAGATATGATAGTATAAGTATCTAGATTAGTGCTAGATAACTTAAGGTTAGACGTAGTCTAAATAGACAGCTGCGATATTATTTTAAAGCCGTCACCGGCTAAGACGAGACTTTTAATATAATATAACGGCGCAGGCAAGACTACTTAGATTAGTATCAGTAGTAGCGTCACTTAGAGGCATATGGGAGTGCGTAGGACATTAAACGAGCCTTAATTTAAATAGACACCTATAGGCCTTGTACGAAAGGATATTAAAAGTCTACAGAGCTAGCTACAGGGAGTGTCTCCTTATATACTTATCTTAGTCGGATCCGAATCGGATCCGACCTTACAACGAGTGGTTGATGAAGAGGGCGGCGAATACTACCTCCGATCCGGCTCTGGGATTGGTCCGATACTTGGCGAAGTTGTAACGTCGTTACAAAAGACATGCTAAAGGCGTACGTATCTATAGTAGTGTACGTGACTAAGAAAAGTGACGCAAGGAGACTTATCGCAGAAGGCTTCTTCCACGCGGGTAGTGTTACACGGGGTTGGGTGCTAATACTTCTCTAAGCTCAATCCAGGTTAGGGCGAGTAGGATAAGGTTAATAGCTCCGTGAGGTTTGTCTGGCGATTCAGTAGAGTGGCGTGCTTGGTAGAAGTGATAACAAAAGGTTCGACAAATCTAATCTATTCAATAGACTAACTTGTATCAATCTTGTGAAGTAAAGTAACTAGTAAGAAGTACAATTTGAGTTGACCACAACGAGAGTAAATAATGAAATCCATCAATCCTTATATCCTCATTGCTTCCAGTCCTGGCATCAGGGCCTTGACCTGGAGTCACTGACTCCCTCCTGCCTATGTGAGGCCATGTCCTCACATATCTTGGGTGGCATCACTGATGCCATGGTCTTGGCGTGATGTCAATCACGTGATCAGCACCCCGCGATGATCATTACCTTCTGACGTGGACGTCCATAGGCCTTCCGCCATCTCGTCACTTGTCAAGGAGAGAAACCTTCTTGTTGTAACAATATGGACGTAGTATAAGCGACGATACGATTTGCAATAGTAACACGAAGACTTAATGCAAACTAATAGCTAACTACTAGGTAAACCTTAGCTACTAATGTAAACTTATCTATATGTAAGGGGCTGCGCTCCGGGGAGCAATCGCGAGGTATACAAGAGGTTGTATTCGATGAGGAGCTATCTACTCTACTTGCGTGATGTTTATTTACTCGTCGGAGAAAGGTTATGCCGAAGTATCTGAGCGCGTTGTCTGAGCGCTGCTCGGGCGGTGAGAAGAATCCGGGTGCTCTGGGTGACACCCGGATTCTGCGCTCGCCATCTGAACATAGTTCGGATGGCGCGCACGCAGCTTGAACCGAGATCTCGTCGAGGAGCTATCCAAAGGGCGTTCAGCCCGTTACACTATAGCCTTATACAACTAATAGCAGACAACGCTTTAGCTGCCGAAGATAGGACGTTAAATACTTAAAGAACCTCTTAGAGAAGTCGACTCTAAGCTAGTCTACTACTAGTAATACTAACCTATAAGTACTAGATAAGGAATAATAGTAGATAGAGAAGAAGTGTGCCACGATATTATGTAAGGGCTATGACTTAGATGATAAGCTGTATGAAGAAGTGTATGAAAGAAAATAGACAGGCTAAGGAGACTGAGACGTAGCATAAGAAGTGTAAAGTTAAACTAGCGTTAGTAGCCCTTTTGGTTCGGCCGCCGGACGTAAATAAATTGTGTATGTGTATGAATAAGGGGGACAGGTAAGCAGAGGCTGATGCATTGATGGTGACAGTGGCTCTGCAAGAATTGTCCAGCTGCCTCGCCGGCCAAGCACGCCCTATAGTGTCGAATGCGGTAATGGCTATTGGTGGGGGGACTGGAGACATGGTGTGCATGTGTGGAGCAGCGCCCGATATAAAGCGCAGATCGAGAGAAGGGGAGACAGAACATACTGCATATACATACATACACAGATACATGATGCATCACGAGATTGTCGCTCTTGAGAAGCAGCACCAGCCCCTCCCCGTCGACGGCTTCGCTTTTGCTCCGGGCACTACCTACAACCTCACAGCCTACGAATCAACCTCGTCGCGTGACCAACTTCACCAACGCATCCGCAATGCCACCATCATTATTGTGACGACGCTTAAACTGGATGCCGAAACTTTGCACCCCACCATTACCCCCAATCTGCGCTACATAGCTGTCTCCGCAACAGGCACCGACCCAGTCGACCTCGATGCCTGTCGGTCACGCAACATTCGCGTAACAAACTGTCCAGGGGCTAATCTGGACGCCGTCTCAGAACACGCCATCAGCCTCTATTTCGCTGCCAGGAGGCGCACCGTGTTGCTCGACCGCATAACGCGAGTACAACCGAGCGAATGGAAGGACAAGGGTAGTGTCAACCACTACATGCGCCTTCCGGATGGCAAGCCACCCATTACGTGCAGGGACGAGGTCATGGGCGTTATCGGATACGGTGGTCTGGGTGCGTTTTACTCGTTCTCCCTGCCCTGTTTAGGATGCAAGATCCTGGGCTGATCATAACCAAACGACCATAGGCAAAAAGATAGCTGCATTGGGCAATGCACTCGGCATGCGCGTACTGGTTGCGAGTCGCAAAACACCCGCGACACCTGCACTCAGTGACATTCTTCCGGCCCCAGATACGTCTGATGGCCGCATTCCTTTTGACGATGTCCTCCGCCAGTCTACTGTACTCGTCTTGTCGCTGCCCCGAACTTCTGAGACGCTCAATCTCATCTCTACACAGGAGCTCGCCAAGATGCATCCATACTCTGTCATCATCAACATAGCGCGGGGTGGCATCGTGCATGAGGCAGCTGTCGTCCAGGCTCTCAAGGAGAAGCGCATCGCCGGTTATGCCACTGATGTCTATCAAGTGGAGCCTGCTGGTGGACCTGAGGATACGCCATTACTCGAGGAGGAGACAAAGGATCTGAACATCACCATGAGCCCGCACCTAGCGTGGTTCTCGCAAAGGACTATTAAGAACCTGGGGGACATATTGAAGGAGACAGTAGAGGGGTGGGTAAATGGTAACGAGATCAATGTCGTTGTATAACAAGCCCAATACCCAAGGGCGAGAAATCACGTCTGGTTTATCATCTTTGAAGCCGATTAGATTCAGATCTCAACCCAGCCAGCCTAGAGATGACGTAAAAAAATAAACTCTAGTACCGAGTGTATGGGCGTATGCAAGATCCCGCGCCACATGCTTGGGATGATGTTGATGTTGTGGCGTTGAGGCTTGATGGTTGGAGTGTCGTCGGATTGGTGCAGGCCACGTGACTGATGATGAAACCCTAGGACCCCTGCTTGGTGGTTGCAAGGCAGCGGCGCATCGCCTCGGGCTATCAACTAACATCACGTCGGCTCTCTCTACGCGTCAGAACATCACCAATAACACCCTCCGCTTCCTCGAATCGTCAATTCTTCCGCGCACTGCCATCCCTCGGTGGGTGTCGCGCGCACCTTTGCGCCCGCCCTTTATATCCCGCAACTGCAAGCCTTCCATCCGCTGTCGGCTCTGGTTCCCCCGGCGGCAAGCCCGTCCCACAGCCGCCCCACCGACATATTCACCAGCTCCAGCTCCGTCACCACCACCATGTCGGGCTCAGTTGCAGTTGCACGCCCGTCGCAACCTCCACGTTTGCGTCGGGAGTCCCAACGGCCCGGAGTCGCGCGCACCGCCACTCGCCAGTCCAACATGGAGGACGACAGCGCGAAGCCAGAAGAGGCCAGGAAATACGGTATACCCTCCGCCAAAAGCAGCATATGCCTTGCAACAACTAACATGTGGCTCAGTATACACGCAGCAAGACATCCTGGCCAAGCACAAGGGAAAGCCGCCTTCCCTCCGCGTATACTTGCACCCCAAGCACTTCCGTCTCAACGACTCCCAGGAGACACTGTCCTACGCTTCGCCCATGCGCGAGCTTCTCCAGGCTATTAAGGACAAGGTGGTGCCCCACAACATGGTAGAGGAGCTGTATGAGTTTAATACACCCTGGTACGACAACTGTCTCATTGTCGAAGTCCACGACTACCGCTCGAGCGGTGTGAAACCCAAGGACGATGCCAACAACACTGGAGAAGGGTCCACCACCGCTTTCTCAATCCATAACTATAATAACTTCATCACCCCATCCCCTTATGCTCCCTTTCCAGTCAACAAGCCTGAACAGAAGCCTACGCAACCCCCGGTTCAGAGTAAAGATGGGGATGCCAAAGAGGACAAAGAGAACATGCCTGCTCCTGGCCAGAACGGTACACCAAACAAGCAGGCAGGACTCGGCAAAGTCAGGACCGTGGTACTCTTCCCAACTCCGCTGTCACACTTGGCTGACATACAGCTACTGGCCACGACGCCTGTTCCAGACATGGCCGCCTTGAAAAGGATGCAGGCTCAAGGCAGAGCTGCGGGTATGCCGCCAACCCCGATGACCGGTGTACCTTCTACGCCGACCTTCCCCAATGGCCCCAGCCCGAAGCGCCAAAAGATGGTTCTCGACGACAGCAATCTCCACGAGTTCGAAGCCGAAGTCTTGAACACTACCTGTCCACCGCTATACTTGGAACCCACTAAGAGTTTTGGAGAATCGCTTGCGCTCATGGATGCTATTACGCACCCGAACAACAAGAACCCTGCGCCTCCTCGCAAGACCCGCAAGAGGACGACTGCTGAGTTGGCCGCTGACGAAGCCGAAGCGCAGGGTCTACAGCGTTTTATGCTTGCTGGTGACGAGTTCCAGAGTGCCATGGCAGCCGCAGCTACTGGAAATGACGATAACGCAGTGCGTGCAGCCGCCAACTCGCAAACATTTGCACGTTTCAAGACCATTGCCAATATCCGGGCCAATCACGAAGAGAATGATCGACGGAAGAAGGAGGAGGACGCTCGCATTGCTCAGGCTAAACGACAGGCACAAATGGAGGCGGAACTTCAGAGGAAGAGAGAATTGGAGAGCAGACAACAGGCCGAAGTTGCTGAGCGTCAACAAGCAGCCCTTCGGCAACAAGCACAACACCAGGCGCAGCTCCAGCAGAACCAATTGCAACAGACTCAATTGCAGCACAACGAAGCTTTGCGGGCCGCTGCGGCAGCACAAGTTACACAGACGCCTCAATCAGCAACACAGTCCCAATTTTCGCCAACGATACGCCAACAGACACCCATGACTGCCTCTGCGGCATCCCCGCGGGTCGGTGGTCAAGCCTCACATCCCATTGGGGGCACTCCAATGGTGCCGTCGGCTTCCAACCAGGCCATCAACAGTCCAGCGCGACCGCCGTCTTCTATCTCCCATCACCAGAACCAAATGGCCCGATCAATCAGCCAGCAACAAAATCCAAGCCGCACTGGTACACCCCATATTGTTCAGGGTACGCCAGTCATGAACCCATCAATGCCGAATCGTAACATGACGCCTACACCGAGTCGCATGAATCAAAATAGCCCGTCTATGGCGATGCAAGGCCAGACACCAATGATGATGCAGACACCCCAACCCGGTCAAAATATGACACCTGAAGCAATGCAGCAGCTTCGTGTGCAACAGATGCGGATGCAGCAGCTGCAGCAACAAGGAGGATCTCCAGGTAATCAACAACAACAAATGCAGCAAATGGCATTCCAAAAGGCCCAGCAACATATTCAGCAAACTGGTGTCCCTCCCAATCAAAACCCGCAGGCCTACCGCCAGCAGCTGGCACAGCACTATTTCCGTCAACTGCAGCAGCAGCACCAAACCCAACAGCAGCAGCAACAGCAAATGGGCATGCAAAACATGTCGACTCCAGGGGCCATGCCGCAAAACGCTATGCCTCAACAAGGCATGGCTTTTGCTAACATGAGCTTGCAGCAGATGCGGCTACGGTATCAGCAACAAAAAGCAACGGTTATGCAGAACTACAGCAACACGCAAAGCATACCCCCACAGATCATGCAGCAGATGCAGCATATGGAGCTACAAATCAAACAGCGGGAACAACGCGAACAGCAACAAGCGCAGATGGCACAGATGCAGAATGGCATGGGCAATCAAATGAATGGGGGTCAAATGGGTGGCATGCAAAATGCCAATCCTGCCAATCCAATGCAAATGCAGCAGTATCAACAACTGCTCCAACAACAACGCCAGGCAGCCGCAAATCAAAACCGAATCATGCAAATGCGCCAGCAGGCCATGGCAAATGGTGGCCAGCTACCGCAGGGTATGATGGGCAACATGAATGCCATGGGCGGCATGCAAGGCACGATGCAGGGCATGAACGCCATGGGCAACATGGGAAATGTCCAAGGCATGAACATGGGACAGATGGGCCAGATGAACGGCGGCATGGGCGGCATGCAAAACGGGCAGATGAACACTGGTATGCAAGGCATGCAGAACATGCAAGGTATGCAAGGCATGAACCAGATGAACCAGATGAATCAGCAGCAGATGCAGCAGATGATGATGATGCGCCAAGCACAGCAGCAGGCTCAGCGGATGGGGCAACCAGGCGGTCAACAAGGCGGCGACATGGGATGGACCGGTTGACCACGGTGAGCCTGGCTAAGAGGAGACTTTGGTCGATGATTACCGTTATACCCTGCCGTTGTTTTGTGTTTCATTGTCCTTTGGCGTTTTCTTCCAGGAAACGGAAGACAATCGAGATCTGGACTGGATATCAATGGGTGTTTTGGGAGCATTTGCTGGGCGAAATGAAAAAAAAGAAAGTTACTTCAAGATACCCCTGTTCTGGGATGGATTTCCGTTTTATGGCATTTTTGTACTGTTCTGTCACCAGCGCTTTTGATGTGGCGCGGTCTGTTGCTGCCCATTTCATCTGGAGATATCCATAGTTTTACTCTCTTGTAGCGATTTATAAGTAACATCTGAAATGACATTGTTAGGAAGGAAGGCATCTATTAGAATGATATTGATTCATGAGTGCATCTTGTTAGGCTTCAGTGACGAATACACTATTCTCCAGATCTCGGTGAATGTGTCCTGCCAGCCACCAAGTTTCTTCTGCATAGTGACGTCTGGCAGGTAGAAAAACAAATATAGTGTCCATCAACAATTTGTGCCTTTTCTCAATCAATCTCGTTCATCACTTTCAACTTAGCAGTGGATATGAAGTGTTGGTGTCGTTCATTTCCTTTGAGGCTATTACTATCATACAAGACAATTTCCATCCAGTTTCTAGCATACGCTGACATGTACTTTTCAGCAGCTACAAGGCAACTCTAACGACTATACGATAAAGTCACCCGTAAATGTAAAGTTCTGCGGACTCGATTCGCCCCAATGCCTTGGTTTCGAACACTATTTCTTCGAAGCGGCCTGAGCAAGGTCGGCGAGAGCTTCACGGCGCTTGAACTTGGCGTCTTGGATCACACCTAGAGTATGTTAGTATAGAGAGCAGAGTTTAGAAGAAGAGAACTACGTACTGGCATCAGCGTCGCTGCTGAAGTTGCCAGACCATGTGACGAACGTCTGTCCCTGGTGTTTGCCAGATGTGACGGGGTATGCGCGGATGGTAGAGACGACCGAAGAGTACGAGAGCTCTGGCTTGGAAGTAATGACGGAGTACGTAATGAAGTGGTCAATGGACTAAAATTTTCCCAATTAGCGACTCGTGAGAAAAAAAGAAATCACAGAAAGGAGAAAAAATTGCGTACTGAGTGCTCCTCCTGCTTCACCTCGAGCTCTGCGCCGTCCTTGAATGTCCACTTAACAATATCGGTCTCGTCGGATGTTCCCTTGACGAACTCGCTCTTCTCGAGCTTGGTCCAGAACTTGCTGAAGTCCTGGAGCTTGATCAGGTGCCAGACATCGCTAAAAGGCGCCTCGATGACGGCAGACTCGTGGACGGAGGTGGAGGTGGGGATGGTCGAGGACATGGTGGTTGGATTTTTCCTTGGTTAACAATTGATTTTGCAGAAATTGATTTCAGTGGAGGTGAAAAGAAGATGCGAGTGGAGATTTGAGTCGATGGTTGGAAGCAGTTGAAAGAGAAGTTTAGGTGGGGCACCATTGCTTGTTGCAAACCTATAGCGTCATGGCAGAGCTCGCGGCAGAGCTAATGGCAGCTACCCCTCCCCCGCGCCGTTCCTGCTTGGATAGTCTTGCCACCCCAGCCTTGTGCAATACGATATCATCGAATCATGCGTCATCAACTTGTTGTAACTGGTTCCTTTGGTGAGCTACTCTCTTGGCACTCTGGCTCGCTGCGACCTGTTCTAGCCCCAGCTCAAGGGATCTACCATTGAATGACTTCCATAAACCAAGTATGTAAGTAAAGCAATACTCTAAGCTTACAAAAGGAGCGATTACAAGACTACGGAACACATGTTCTCCTAGTCAAGATACAGCCTTACCCATACTATAGACAATCAAGCGTCTTCTTGACACACTTCCCCTTTTCTTTCTTGTCCTTCCTCGTCCTTCCTTATCATTCTAACACCTTGATCACTTCACATCCAACTCGGACAATAGAAATTACCGACAGTCTTGTCAGCCATGCATTGAGCACACCCTTATTATAACCCAGGCAGCCAATCATATCCTCTTCGCTACAGCCACCGCCACATCGGACGAAACTAGCCTCCGGTTTCACCGACCACTCGGACGCGCAACACCCTACTGCCTACCTATAACGTGGTCAGACAACGCTCTAGACACTGGATAGAGGAGCTTGTCATCGATGATCCTTCTCGTCGTTTCTCTGTGTTTCCGAGGAAATTCGAAATATAGCATGGGATTGGCTTCTCGACATCGATGGCGTGCAATATGACTGACTGGACGCTGTGGCGATAACAGCGAGGGGGCTCGCACATACGTACGCTTGCACGTGCGAAGTGATGCCTGGAGCCTTTTGGTGTGTATAATATGCTTGAAAAGGTAGGCGATATTTCATATCAACCAGACACTCAGTCTTCATCATCTTTATCAACCAAATATCACAATCTACAAACTATCAATATGCCTTCAGTTGCATACATGAACCAGTCGGCGCCTTTCTGGGACTTCATTGCAAGTCTTGAACAGCAAGGCGCTCAACAATCTCACTCTGGACAGAACCGCGAAGACGGTACGGAGAACGAGCAAGGACCTCAGGGGCCCCCAGACCCATTTGCCCCTTGGACTTGGGGCCATGGATTTTTCGGTGGCGGTAGAGGAATGCCTCATCACGGCGGTCCTCCCCACACCCGCCATGAACGTCGCCACGAAGAGTCTGCAGGCGAAAAGGAAGCAGATATGAACGATGCAAACGACAACGGGGAGGGTCCATCTGGCACCTCCGGCTCTGATAACGAAGTTCGTGACGAAGACTATTCAAACAGAAGAGAACACCACGGCCGTTGTGGTGGAGGACCACGCGGTCGCTGTGGACCTGGTGGCAGGGGTGGCTTTGGGCCTCGACACGGCCCTGGACCGCACCATGGATTCGGTTCTCACCATGGCCCTTACCATGGCGGTCGCCGCGGAGGGTGGGGCCCATGGGGACACGGGGGTCCACATGGAGGCGGTCCCTTTGGTTTTGGTGGCAACTCTTTCGACCCATCCACTTTTGTCACTCACCTTTTCAATCAGTTCAATGACTCAGGTCCTTCGAATGAAGACTCTGGGAATAAGGCCAGATCATCTGGAAACGAAGACCACGCTCCTGAAGCCGACATTTTCGACACTGAATCAGCCTATGTGGTCCACATCTCCCTTCCTGGCGCTAAGAAGGAAGATGTCGGTGTGAACTGGGATGCTGAGAAAAGCGAGTTGAGTGTTGCTGGTGTTATATATCGCCCCGGAAACGAAGAGTTCTTGAAGACACTTGCTGTTGACGAGAGGAAGGTGGGTGCTTTTGAGCGAAAGATTCGTCTAGGAACAAGAGTCAATCCTGCAAGCATTGATGCTGATGGCATTACTGCCAAGTTAGAGGACGGTGTGTTGAGAGTTGAAGTGCCGAAGCTGGACTCGGGCTACGTAGAGATCCGCAAAGTGGATATTGAGTAGTTTCCTCAAGGAGCCGGGCGAAGCAGTAATGGGGTAGCATATAGCGATATGTAGGGAAGCTTTTTTGTTTGAATATGGAGAGCAGGTACTTGCAATGAATATATTTCTAATTAGTGAACATTATGAAGGTTATGTTATTTCGTAAGCCATTCTCATCCATCTCATAACGAGCGACTTGCCACATTACCCACTTTCTTCCTTCCATCTCTTACCGAAGATTCAGGCCTTCCTAGCAACGAGATCAGCACACATCTCCGCCAACGCATAAATAGTGCAGGAAGGCATAGCAGCAATTGGTTCCGGGAGAACACTAGCATCGCAAACCCTCAGTCCCCCCACTCCTTTAACTCTGAACGCATCGTCCAACACCGTTCCCAACGTATATGTACCCACGGGATGATAAATTGTACTTGCAAACTGCGTGATACGCGCATCAATCTCCTCATCGCTACTCTTTGTCGTCAACGCGGGAAACTGTGCACCCGCAGGCGGAATTTCGCCCTCAATCTCCGCAGCTAGCGGTCCTGTTTCCACCAAGCGCAAGTTCCCACGCACAGCGCGACGCAGAATAAACCGATCGGTGTTAGTAGAGAGAAAACGCGGATTGCACACAGGTTTATCGTTAGGATCCGCAGGGTTCAGCGTTACACTACCGCGAGATAATGGAAGCATAGGAAGTGCACATAGAGAAATGTGAGCGCCGACTTCTTTGACCGTGGGGGAAATGGCCGGATCAACAAGAAAAGGGTAGTAAACTGCCAAATTAAGGTAGTGGCATCGATTCGGTCGCAGTAGCAAGTCCTCCTCTTGCGGTTCATCAATGCGAATGCCATCGTTCTTGAGGTGTGGAGAAAGCTCTGTATCGGGAATATTCGCGAACAAGCAAAAGTAAAAGGGGAGACCCTGGCCATATGCTGGTTCCGCATACCCATTGAATGGGCGCGCATAGCCTTTTGAGGCGTCTTTGAGCTTGAAGTACATTGTCATGGCGTTGTGGTCGCAGGGATTCTGGCCTACTGCGGGTGAATCGACGGTTTGGGGTATGTTGTGTTTGGCCAGTTCGTCGGCGGGTCCAATACCGGATAGCATCAGGATCTTTGGTGAGACTTGGGTCCTGCATGAAAGTATGACTTCCTTGTTCGCCATGATGCGTTTACCAGAGGTAAGTTCCACTCCAATGGCTCGCTTTGAATCATTGAGAAGAACGCGAGCTGCGAATGTATCGCAAAAGACTTCAACGCCGCTTAGGTCGTATACTTTGGCACTATGTTGTCGTGTTGCGGTGGACTCGGAAGTAGCACGCCAGCACTTGGTGATATCTCCCAGACCCGTCGGGTCTCCCCTGGTTGAATTGTACTTGTGGCCCAGGTTCTCCGCACTCTCTTGGAGAAGATTTCGGATTGGATACTTTCTTCCACCTACAGTATGAATCTTGCCCTCGAAGCCATAGTGCTCCTTGTCTGCTGTCGCATTGAAATGTGTTTCTATGCGCTTGTAGTACTTTTCCATACTGCTATATGTGAACCTCGCATTTCCCGCTCTTTCAGCTATGACGTCTAGATCAGCAGCAGAGGCTCGCATCCATAACCCAATGTTGACACCACTTGCTGCTGACAACAAACGGCCCGCAGCATTCATGATATTTCTGCCACCCAGATGCTCTTGTGGTGTGGTTGAGTAGTCTATAAGGAAGCCTTTCTGGAACAGCGGCATCCAGTTGAGTGGGTCCGAGACATTGTCGATAGCGGGATCGTCCACTGCGTTTGGACCTGCTTCGAGTAACGCAATGCTGGAGTTAGGTAGGTATTCTTTTAGACGAGAAGCGATCACGACACCAGCAGTGCCTCCGCCTGCGATGATGTAGTCGAATGAGGACTCCATTGTGGCTATGGGACCAGGGATGACTGGATCCAAGCATGGTGTGGTGGACCATGAACATAAAGACTACTTATATGCCTTTTCGAACGAGGTCTTGTTTGTTTATTCAACTAATGTTGTACATCATATGCGGCTGCGAGTATGAGTTTTGGGCGTTAGAGGCTTTGCTGAGCGCTTACATGAGCTGGTCTTGACTAGTTTTTGTCTTAAATCGGCAGCGCAAGGCATATTGCTCTACCAGTAGATTCCACAGGGCGTATTCTGATTGTAATTACCTCGGCTAAACAAGGAAAGACGATTCGTTAGGTAAACAAGAACGAAGAATGTTAACGTAAGATTGGTGATCGAACTAGGTTAGGTAGAATACGTTGTAAGACTTCCACACCCACATCTTAGCCAAAATGATATGCATCTGATCGTTGTTACCCCAGAATCTTGTCATGTAATATCTCTGAGGGATAAGCGCGGTTAATTGTGATAAGCGCGTATGCGATCTGCACTCAAAAGTGACAGTAATGAATATTGCCTTTTTCACCACCTTGGTTCGCTCCAACTGATTCAGGGGCCCGCGTGCATGAGAGCTCAATTGGCCAATGTTGGGCAGGCACCTTAGGCGAAATGGCAGCAGGATAGTGTCATTTGCTTCGACATGCATCTTCATTCAGGCATGTCCCAGGAGGTATGAACTGACAAACTCCGTTTGCCACCTTGTTTACTTTTGGACTGGGTCGTCGATTGGGTGGAGAGAATCTCACTTGTTAGAACATGAGTTTGCAGCTAGCGATGGGCTACGAGGGAAAGGCGTTTGTTGCTGGATCTTTGAAATTGTTTTATCAGATGGTTGACAGGTATTTTCGGGGTAACTGTGCCCGATTAGGTCTAGAATATCGCTTTTGTTGATCCACAAGCTCATCTGGCGGGCACATGCTGAAACTGGCAGTGGTCTCTGAGTGGGCTATACTATATCTGGTATAGAGTGTTCCCAGCGAGGATCCTTGAGTGTACTTTAGTAGTACATATGTTCCCAATGTAGCGATGCGTTGGTAGATGAAGGGATTCCCGTTGGTGAACATGGAGCTTGTGATGCTCCATTCACTCTGTCAAACGGGTCTCACCTTCCCAATTACGTCAACGCCATTCCTAAAGCTACTTGAACCCACCTCTCACTCTTCACTGTTTGAAAGCTACCAACTCACATTCAACGACTACGATGTCTTCAACCCGGAAGTTCCCTACAGTTGAAATTGAAGCAAAAGACGATATGGCGAATGAGCATACTACCAATAGCGCCCGCGCAAACAATACATCTGTGCCTGCACTACCCAGGCTGGTCACTCCCTCTAGCGCCGGTATGCCCTTGTCGGACGTGAACATCGGGAGCGACACTCCACGCCTTGCTTCTCCCTTGCACACACCCTCAACACCTGGCCATTTCATCAACCAAGAGCTAAACCCGACGTCCTTCTCCCGCTCTCCAACTCTCGTTTCCTCCATCTTCCCGACCGAGCTACCTCTCCGTACCCCGCCTCGACCTTCACTCATCAACCGTGTATTCAGCCTGTCGCCACCGTCTACGCATGCGGCTCGCGCTGAAAATCGCGCACCTTGCACTTTCCACACACCAGATATCGAGTTGGGTGGGCAGGAGCACTTGACTTGTGTCTTGCAACAAGATGAGAGGGCCAAGAATATCAAGAAGATCGAGAAGGTCAAGTTCGTGCTGCTGCTAATGGGTGGGACGACGCTTTGTTTAGCGATGGGTATAATGGTGTATTTGGTCGTGAAGTTTGCTACTGAGGATGGTGGGCATTAGTGCGTAGGGGAAGATGCAGGGATGAATGATTGGCGTTAGGGGGTATGAGGAACAACAGCAAAGAGGGACTGAATTTATTTTCCTGTCTTTGTCGGGCCTAGGGAATCAAATAATGAAGTCTGTTTAGCATGGGCAGTTCCTCATCTGACGCGGACATGGTGATTTATCGAATGAAAACTAATGCATCGATTCTCAGAAAACAATATGGTTGTATGTGTGGGGACATGAAAAAATTACCCCATTTGGGAAAGTATTCGAGCATGCGCAGAAGATATACGATGTCAGGAACGCTCCGCAACCAGAATGTGCAGAAATATCAGAAGAAAACTTCGTTTCATTACATTAGCAATATGTGCATTTCTTTTATATCCGCATTAGCGATTGTAGTTAGATATTACGATAAATCACTAAATCATCGCCTTCGCTGAGGGCCAGACAGAATGCATCCATCCGCACAAGCCGGGTCAGTACTGTTATACGCAATCTCGCCCACACTGGCACCCGGCTCCACGCTAGGATCTCTGGGGATCGAAAACATGCGTCCGTCCTCTGGTGAGACAACCGTCTCAAGGATATCTCCAAAAGCATTCAGAACGTTGGCGATAGGCTGGCCCTTTGAAACAGGCTCGTCAACGCTAACCAGCGTCTCTACGAAACCACCGTACTGTGTGTACGTATCATGGAAGGTGGTAATGACATACGTCTTGCTTAGATCGGGCTCGACAGTCGTGTTGGAAGGAGTGATTTTCAAATCGACCATGACGCGATTTACGTAGTCGACTACGCGGTTGATGAGGGTGGTGTTCCAGACTCTAGCTTGGCCCATTTCGACGGTGAGAGAGGGAATGCCGTAGTCGACAAAAGTAGTCTCGATGGAGCCGGGCTCGCCAACATCGATTTTCAGGGTGTCGGGCTGGAGGAGCTTGGCGAGGCGCTCAACATAGGGAAGGCGGAAGTCCGCGTAGCACCATAGAGAGGTGTCTGCGCCCGTGCTAGGCGTGTCTGGTCAAATTTTGTTAGTTGGAGATTCTAAATATGAATTTGGGCGTAAGGAACGTACGGAGATCGATACCAACATCGACGTTGCTTGTGTTGGCCCAGATCTGGTTCCAGATGTTGTAGGCAAGGATGTTCGGTCCGCTGCCTCCTTCTGCAGGTGCAATGCCAGGAAAAATGCGGTTCACGTTGATGAGAGATCCGCTTCCGGCAGTAGTGTAGTAGTTACGCTGCCTCATGTAGATTCCCATCGGGTTGATGGTGGGGATACCAATGACTAGATGCAGATTAGCCTCGTATTTCAAGATGGCGACTGGAACATCATACCAGTGCCATTGAGTGTTGCAACCTGGTCCTGAAGCTGCTCAAAGACGCGCTGAACCACGCGAACCGGGTTCAGCTCATCACCGTGAATGGTACCCGAAAGCGACAGCTTCTTGCCTGTGTGCAGACTCTCCTCTGTTCCACGTGCAACCATGATGGGAATGTAAACCGGGTGTCCTCCATTGAGCTCGCCCGCGCGCATATAATACTTAGAGACTGTCTGCGGAGGCACGTCTGCCAGGTTGAGGCCCTGAATAACAGGAACACCGTTTACAACATCGCCGGTGAAATTGAGCGCATGTGAGCTGCCGACAAGAGCCGCCGTGGTCGCAATTGCCGAGAGAAGCTGCATTTTCGCGTTGTAGAGCTGGCCGAGGCTGCGATTGCCATGGTAGAGCTTACCAACGCCCATTTTATATGTCTACCATGGCCCGATAAGACTTCAACCGTCTTGCTCCAACTGTCCATCCTAATAGAAATCTTTGTCGCAAACAGGAAGGTCGGCATGGGTGTTGTCCACTCAGTGACGGTGCCCAGCCTGACCGACTCTTGGCATCTCATAGTTGACCCGAGTTTCGGGTATGAGCGGTAGGTACAGGTCATCATGGCCACGGAGTCAAGTGATTCAGGGCAAGATAACCGCGAGTAGAACATCAGCATTGTGTTTACAGATATCTGAGTAACCATTGACTTGGGATCGGTGGATCGTTTCGGCTGTCCCGGTGCTGTGGGACGGAAGTTCGCGCGAGTCATGATAACTCGGAAGGAACAGATAAGACGGTACCCGGGCCTTGTGCTTACTCTGGCGCTTTTCTGAATTATTGGTAAACAAGTATTGTCAAGTGGGAGCCTGCTTTTGCTTCCATTGTTTCATTCAACAATACTCAGTTGCTGTTTCGCCATGGACGCTGCGCTCACTTTGTGTCGAAATAACATCAAAACGTACGTTCTTCATACAAGAGCAGAGTCCGAGGGTCTCACTACTAGCAACGAAGGCTACGCACCATTTGTGATGCAGCAAGTTCGGACGATCAATAAAAAGCACATCTGACCTTTGAGCAACGTCAACAGCGCGCAGAGCTGCCAGGCAACCCCCTTCCTCAATACCACTAGAGATTTGGTTTTCTCGGAAGATCACGACGATCACGACGACTTTGAGGTTTCGAACGCTACCGAATCTAGAAACGATGATACAGGAGGTGATAGCGATGACGAGAACAAGGACGAGGACGAGGAAATGATGGATGTGGATTTGCTAGATAACGCTACTGTAACTCTAAAGAGGGAAATTTAGGTACTTTATACGCAGCAAGGCCGATTAAGACGCAAGCTCCAGCCTGCAAACAAGTTGCCCACATACTTGACTTGCCTCTTTCTTTGTGTAGCAAACACTTCAGCGGCGCAGCAATGAAAGAAAGTGCATAACACCGAACTCCAGAAAAAACACCAAGAGAAATACAGTTCAGAGATGATTGAGAGCCTTAATCAACAAAGCTTTTTGATACAAAGAGGAAATTCTTATCCAGCATGCCCTTAGTCTTGGTGAGCGAGGATACTCTCTGATACACTGCAACAAAAGATGCGGCTAATTCCCGGCTGACTAGAGTGACGTCTCACGCCAGTCCGTCAATTCTGAGTTGCTGCCTTGTTCTCCGTCTTGGTCGTTGTCGTCTGCGCCTGCGCCTGCGTCGAGCAGCATCTCCACTATCATTTTGCTGCTAGCAGTGCCAGTTCTAGCAAGTGTATCTCTAGCAGCTCGAAGTGCGTTCCCAAACTTTCCACCGTGGGCATTGACATCTGCGCCTGCGTCGAGCAATATCTTCGCTATTTCTTCTTTGCCAGGATGGACAGAAACAGCAACACCTTGGAGTGCGCTCCCAAAGTATCCACCTTGGGCATTGACGTCTGCGCCTGCGTTAAGCAGCATCCTTACTAGGTCTTCTTTGCTACGAGAGTCAGCAGCTTGAAGTGCGTTCCCATAGTATCCATCCTGGGCATCGAAATCTGAGAATATGCTAAGCAGTATTTTTACACTTTTTTCGTCTGCAAGCGGGGAAGCAGCGTTAGCTGAAAGTGCGCTCTCAAAGTATCCATCTTGGGCATGGACGTCTGCGAGTGCGTCATACTGCATCCTTACAAGGTCTCCTCTACCATTATAGGCAGCAGCTTGAAGCGCGTTCCCATAGTATCCACCCTGTGCATTGGCGTCTGCGCCTGCGTTGAGTAGCATCCTTACTAAGGCTTTTCTGCGATTATAGGCAGCAGCTTGGAGTGCGTTCCTATATCTTCCACCCTGGGCATTGACGTCTGCACCTGCATCAAGCATGAACTGTAATAGTTCTTTGCTTCCTCTATATGCAATCTCCTGTAACACAATCGACTCAAATTCTTCTTCTCTTTCAATTCCTAGCTTCATGTGCAGCAACCGTTTAACAACTTGATCACACCCTCTTACTGCAGCCTTCAATATGGCCTTCATCTTGTCGCGTATTACAACCACTTTTATATGATGCTCCGCATTCCCCCAGGAAAGTACATGTAGTCCTTCATCATAGTCTCTTGGAGCTTCGGTAAACTGATAATCCGACATGAGTTCGACTATCTGACTATAACATGTTTTCTCGATCTTGAGGCTTTCTGCTGGCCTTTCCTCAAACAATAGCAGTGTTGGATGGTTGAAAACTGCCATATCTGGAAGCTTGGCTTCAGTTTGATATGGCTTCTTCATCTTGCATCCTGATGGAAGATGAGAGCAGGTCGCTTCTGAAGTAGTTTCTTGTTCCAGCGTAAAATAGGTGACGTCTAGTGTTGTATGAGAACTTATGATATCGAAGGCCTCAGGAATAGTGAATGGGTTTGATTGATTTGTTGGCATCGATTGGAGCAGATATGTAACAACCTCGTGAAAAACTTGGGAAGGCGGCCTTCGGTAGTCTATGGTAATATTCTTCGTATCTAGGGGATCCGAAGACATACCAAGCAGGGCATATATCTTGTCGCGTTCATCAGTTGCTTTGCTCCCTTGAAACTTGCGCAGAAGGGTGCATAAGTTGCGTGTGTGTGCCCACCAGGAACTTGACCGAAAAGACTCTGCCATTATGTCCAACACAGGCTGACAGTGCGGCGGAGGCTTCTGCTCTACAAAGGAAAGTGCGAGGACAAAAATTTCTGTCGGAATGGATCGAACACCACAGCAGACATCGGCTCTACGGGCTTTGGCTACCTCCTGTAGGATCCAGACTCTTGTAAACCATTCTCGATTCAAAAGTTGCTTTATTCCGATAGAATGGTCTTTCCAATCCCAGTCTTTGAACATTTCTGGCTCGTAATGATAACCAGAATCGGCGTTTCGAAATTGGTTGAGCGTCTCCATCAAGGAGATAATTTGTGGCGTAGCCTTGCCTAACCAGATGAGAACTTTCTCAGCCTTTTCGTATATTTGTCCCATCTGCTGAACTTGTTGGCTCTGTTCCACTTTGTCTTCTTGGTTTATACAAATCGCGTCGATCCACAGAATGCGATCCCTATCGCACAACCGCAGGTTTTGCAACACCGCATATAGGTTATCTGTTACCCAAAATAGCTTTCCGTCAAGCTGTATACACTCAACAAGCTCGCTGCTACCCCATGTGTAGGAAAGAGCTTCGTATGGAGGGTGTACGTTTTGCAGTGACTGCAGAGAGAGCTTGCATTCAATTTCAGGACTACTCCCTTTCAGTAGCCTCAACAGTCGGAAATCCGATTCCTCAGATCCAAGCGCTGTATACTGATACATTTCCGTGGACGAAAGCGGTATTCTTACAGTACCGGACGTACCTGTGCAAATGCTGATGCGTGGAAGGAGTGAAGAAGGCTGTGTAGCGGGGCAAGGCGCAATCGCTAAGCATTGTATATCCTATGCACGTGACCGTAGCCTCTTAGCCTAAGGGTTGTCCTTCTTCTAAAGGTTAGATCCAGAGCAATGTGATGCCGATCTCCTGTATCATATATGCTATAGCTATTATCTCCTACATTAGATATTGTAGAACGCACACAACTTATCATACTGCAACATTCCGTGAGATATATACTACAACACACACCTAGTATGCAACCGTAATATAGATAGGTAGAATATTTTATGTACTAAGCAGGATATACCTTCGGGATTAGTAGTACCTGTAGCAACATCGCGACTAGGAAACAACGATATAAAATGAACAGGCCAATGGCTTAAGTCCAAAAGGGTAAATATACGTATAGGTTTTTGTTGTTACCATGGTCCCTTTGTACTATAGTAAAAGGTAAATCTAAGAAAACATCTGGATAGAAAAAGGCATAGCTCGTATAAAACGGTATTTATCCTGAGATCGAACCCATTTTGAACCTATCTTGGTTTCATGATGATGGGTTTGGCTCTACGTACGCATAGTGCTTAGTGCGAGCTTCACCGCTAATGACATATTTGGTACAGGTGTCATGATGGTCTCAGCGTATGTGTGGTATATCCCGCTAGACAGACTGTATTACTTGTTGCTCCGAAAAGCACACAAGTCTATCTAGCAATCTGAGTCAATATTTTGATGTCGTCTAGTTGGCTAAGAGGAGAGAGAGAGGCCATCCTGTGTACTATATACGGCAAAAGCTCTCATTTATTCTTTACATTTGGTGGGGTTACGGTGCTTTACTCTGAGTGCTTTCCTCTGGGTGAGTGTAGTCATTGCTAATAGTGTCGATTTGTTTTGGTTGCAGGATTACTGGATGTAAGTATCCAGGGTGGATGACGGCAACCAAAGTTCCGATCTTCTCGGCACTTTACTCTTTGAATAGTTGGTTTGAGACGGCGGGGACTTTGAGGGGAACATAAATTATATAAGTCGACAGATTTCCACGTTCAAAATAATATCATCAACACGAGCTTTGAGCAACTTTCATCTTTGAACATCACTTCTATCCCGCTCACAAAGCCCACATCATGCGTTCAACCACAGCCACGACTCTTCTTTTCAGCAGCTTTGCAGGCGCGCAATTGGGCTCGGTCATTTTTGCCGACATGCCTGTAACGTGCCAGAATGGTGCGTTTTCATGATCCTGCCCAAGTCGCAATGCTAACTAACATAAACTTTCAGGATAAGCGCCCATTGTCACTTGCGGCAATCCGGTCCCGGAAATGTGTGGTTGCACCTGCAGTGACGGAATGATGTTTAACCAGTCACGGCCGTCACTCTCAGGAAATGCAACTCCACCTCCGCCTCCACCTCCCCAGGTTGTTCAACAGCCGTACAAGTTCGCGTCAAAACCATACCTAGGAAGAGCTATCTAGAACTGGAGTAGTCTTTGTGCTAGTTATAGGAAAGATTTGCTTGAAAACAGTGAACTCGCAACCGAAACGATTGGAATTGAAGAAGACGGCGTCTTGACCGTGACTGATTTCCTCTATAGATGCCAAATCCATGAGGTATCTGTTGACAACAAATTCCTAGGTGAGACGTATGGAACAGGTCCCCTCGACGCTTCGCATTGCGGAAGCGAAGAAGAGTGTATGAACAGCGGAGGGGCCCATGGGTTCTTTTTCGTTCCAAAAGGCAAGTCAATCGAACCAGCTCCCATAACCCGCTTCGGCTATGTTTTACACATGTAAAGACTTTTGGGCTAATTCTCGAAATTTTCAGGACGCCACACGATTGGTGCTAGATGGGTCAAGGTCACAGAAGCATGCAGTTTCTTTACATTAGCACGGTCGCTTTACAAGATACGCGCAATGTGCTAGATAGACCAACTTTGAGCTTAGCCATGATGGAAAGGCATATTTGATGCATAGTTAGTTGATGCAAAGACTTTATTAGGGATACTCGACAAGTAGGGGTAATATGGGATTGACTGTAGAACAAGAGGTGAATAGCTTTGTAATTGATAATTAAACCAGACATTGCATATGATTCATGATCTGTATTGCAGTCAAATTTGTAGTGGCGCACACTGTTCGTCTAGACTTGTCGTTTCCGCCTACCGAATGGGTCCCGCCGCTTCAGTGTAACGATGTGCTTTTGCTTGTCGTGTTCAAAGACATTTGGCGCTTCAAAAAGCCTTTCAGGACAAGCCATACAGAGTCAATACGTCGGGTAGATGGCCAACATAGTATTACATGGGGCCATCACCCACGTTAAAAGAGAAAAAAAAAATGAACTAATTTTGAAACCAGGCGCTTATACTTTTCGTACGCGCTCTTCATAGGCTGTCCATGCAGCTTTCCTGTAGCGTTCTGCTTCTGACTTGCGGTCTTGTGCTCGGACAATACCACGCCCGACAATGATAATATCGCATCCTTGGTCGTAAATCAGCTTGTGGGGGGTGTTGTACTGCTGGCCAAGGGCGTCTCCTAGCTTCTTGCCCTCTTGACCTGGAGGCGGTAGTTGACAACCTGGAGTCATGGTAATGAAGTTGTCTTCGGGCTCTGAGTTCAAGCTGCGCTGGGCAATGAAACCCATGACAAAGTCTCGATGACTGCGGGCAATTTGAACCGTTGTCTTCTGGTATTCGGGCGTCATGAGGTGACCCTCGGAGCTCATTTCAGCGAGCAAAAGGAGCGAACGCAGAAACGGCGGCGGGCCAAGACGGATAAGCTCCGTGGCACTATCGAGGTTGAAGACGTCTTCTCCGTTGTCGTTGGGTTCGGGCCGAGGCGATATGCTTTCTGTGCGCATGGATATGGAAGTCGTGACACTCACCACACTCTGCTTCCTGTCGGGCGCGCGGATGCTCAGTCTTCTCTCTTCGCCCTCCATCTCGATTGGGGACTCGATGGTGAAGTCGGGTTTTTTCATGTCGTCATCAAATTGGTCGTCATCTTCGTCGTCGCCTGCTCCGTTTACCTGCCGTGTAGCAGAGATTTCGGTGTTTACAGAAGTGTTGTACTTGGCAATGGTTGTTTCGGCAGCTTTCTCGAGCGCGGTAACGATGGCGGGACCGGGCAGAATATGCGCGTTTGTGATTTCGGCCCACAGGGCGATGCGGTGGTGTCCAGAAGTGTACTGCTTCTGTACGGTTTCTGGTATGGTGTTAGCGGCTCGTCTAGATGGCAGGGTAGCGAACAAACGAGTGGTGGACAAACATACCTCCAATATCAGCGAATTTGCGATCTTCAAAAATAAGGAAGGATTTGCGCGCGGCGACCTCTCTTAGGGCCTGGGCTGTCCTGTCGGACCAGTCGGTGACAATGTCGCAATGTGTTTTGAGCAAGCAGATAGAGTCGCCCACTTCTTCGGCGAGTTGCAGCAATTCTGCAGAGGTCTCGACATCGGCCGAGAGGCAGAGATTGGTCTGCTTGGCGGCCATCAAACTGAGCAGGTATGAGGCCAGAGGACCGGCGGAGGGCAACGAGGCCCGCGCGCGGTAGGTGCTGGTGAGGGTGGAGTGGGGAGACATGGTGATGGAGAAGACGGGCGCAGTTCCGGTGGCCAGTCGCGTGTTTTGTTCGATGGTGAGTCTTGTGCAGACTATGGGCGCGGGGTGGTGAGGGGCAGCAACAACGGCAGCAGGCAGGGAACGAGGGAAGCTGCGAGCTGGATGTGTGATTATTTTATAGAAGAAGAAAAAAGGAAGGGAAGATGTCGAGGAAAAAGAAGGAGAGGGAGGGGAGTAAAAGGGTAAAAGAGCAGAAGAGGGAGAGGTCAAGTGAGGGGACTTGCAGGCAGAGCCAAAGCCAAAGCCAAAGCCAAAGCCGAAGCGGACCAGCAGGTGGTCAAGGGAAAGGCGACAGCCGGGTCGGCCCAGTCGGCCAGCAGTCAGTCAGTCAGTCAGGCGTGTCGTGTCGTGTCGTGTCGTGGATACACGCATACATACGTATGTACATCATGCATCCGTCCATCCATTCATCCACCCACCCATACGCGAGAGGGACAAAATTAATTGCGCCTGTTCCTGGCGCGGCCCGCTGGCCGCAGATGCTGGCTGGGTCTCTGCAGCCTGCGCCCCCCCGGACAAACGCCCTGTAGACGCAGCTATGCACAGCACTGCCTGCGCATTGGTCCCACGCCCCCCCCCCCACCCTGCCCCGACGACAAGCCTGCCCACCCTTGGTTCCATCCAGGCCTCGCCTTCTGATCCCCCAGTCTAACACCACCCAGCCTGCCCTGCTCCGCCGTCGCCGCGCTCGTGTCGGTGAGCGGGCATACACGCGCGCTTCCAGCCCATCATGCTCGCCCTCGCCTACCCCGAGCCGCCCGTCGATTCCCCCGAAGCTGTGTATTACTCTACCTATCCTGCTCCCGTTCGGCACACGCCGTTAGCCGACTTGACTGCCGATACATGTACACCTAGTACATAAGCTACATACATACATACATGCTGTGCATGCTCAGTCTCTTGGCGTCCTGTCCCCTTACTGCGACTTTGGACCCTACGCCTCAGAAACATGCGTACTAGCAGATCTCCCCGTCCCTTTCATGTCCCCTTCTCTTAACACGGTACACTAAATCATGTCGAGTAATCAAGGACTTCTCCACGCACACATCTTGCACATGCACACGCACCACATACGTCAGTTTGCGCCTCATAACAGAAAAGGGGAGCGGATGCGAGTTTCAGGAAAGGTGTTGGCGTCGCATTCAAAGCTACCATAGTTAAGCCCTCTGTCCTGCATCTGAACATGTAAAGCACGGACCATTCACGGTCTAACCGCTTTCGGATCATTCACGACAGCTTGCCCCCCAGCAGTGACCAGTGAAGCTCTCAAATTTCGACTTCATCATCACACAATTTCAAGCTTAAGCAGCCAAATAGTGGACATGTTGTAGGTGAATCACTGCTCTCTGAAGCGGACTTCACCTGGTATCACACACAAGATCTAATTTCCTGAGCCAGTGTTTGGGTTCCAAATTCACCACGGCTTCTTGAATTCATAACAAACACTCGCTTTTATTGCTGTGACTCACTTACCACCCTCTCCTCTCTCTTCCATTACACTCAGCAAATTGCACGTCTTTACTACATAGTTTCAACTTCAACGTCATGCCACCCAAGAAAGACACTGCCGGCGGAGAAGCCAACGAGCTTCTCCCAGGCTTCACCGACAAGGAGACTAAGCTTATTGCCGCCGCGTACCTGAGCTCCACCGGCCCTGACAAGGTGAGTGCACGCTACTTTTTGCCGATCCGATCTTCTGCAGGAACGTGTGCTAACAACATACATATAGTTCGACTATGATCACATGGCTGCGCTCACCAAGAACACGGCTGGCTCGCTCAAGAAGATGTGTAAGTGGCTTCCATCCATACCCGTACGCCCAATCCCTGGCACACGCTAACCAGATACCTCCAAACACAGGGCCTCCCGTCAAAAGAAAGGCCATCGAGAGCCACCCGTCCTTTGCCAAGTTCCTCGGCCAGTCTAACGGCGACGCTACTGCATCTACCTCTGAAGCACCAAAGCTTACCGCAGCTCCCAAGTCCAGGAAGCGCAAACCTGCAGATGAGACACCTGAGGAACCTGCCAAGTCCGAACCCGACAGTTCGGAGCCCGACAAGAAGCCAACCAAGAAGTCTGCTCCTGCTGGGAAGAAAAAGGGTCGCGGTCGTCCGAAGAAGCAGGCCAAGATTGAGACTATGGACGAAGAAGACTCCGCTGACGGTGGCGATGGCCGTGGTGAGTTTACGTCGAAGAGAGCTGTACAGCGTTGGCTGCAGAGTACTGACTACGAGTAAGATTCTGAAATCGAGTATGACTAGTCTGGTTTGATGCGGGAGCTTATGCTTGTCAGATGCTCTTGATTACTGACTTTGGTACTACACATGTGCTGTTGGGTATGCTGTGGTGGATGTTCATCCCATAGCGCTTCTCAACGTGCTGTATCTTGACTGATGTACCTTGTCTGGGGCTGTTGAGTCCGCGACAGCAGCGTACATGTTCGGGTTTTCTAATGTCGCATCCATCATCTCATGAGGATGTTTCGGAGCATTGGGAATTGGGGTTAGGGTGGCTTTTTTTCCTCTACTCCGAACGCGGTATGAGCGTTCAGTAGGATCGAGGTTCTAATGTAATCAATTTTCACTTCTTCACCTTCTTCTTTTTTCAACTCTAGGGAACATCAAACAGGGAGGAAACATGCAAAGTTCAGTAGTGCAGTCCACGAAATTATAGTGATTAACCCAATGACTTCGTTTCTTTGCATCTATCCAGTGTCTACTCCAAATGTGTGTAGGGTATTATGCTTCCCAACTTTTTTCTTTCTTCTTCTCATATCATATCAACTCTCCAAGCATGCCCATACCCATTGAATACTCATCGATTGCACAAACAACACGATCTAACCACGAAGCCAACAGAAACAACCTCCTATAACGACCCTAATTTCCCTTATTTCCCCTCTTTCCACCCCTCTTCTTCCTCTCCACATGCCCCAAAAGCGTCTTCTTAACATCACCCAAACTCCTCTTATTCTTGCTCTTGGCCTTACCTAATGTCATCAAAAAGTTCTTCTTGCGCGCCTTGTCCTGGTTCGTAGTACTCTTGCCCTCTGCATGTCGCTTCTCCTTGCGCTTGCCCGCCTGCGACATGTGGTTCGTCTCGCGGTCTTGCTTGGCCATTGCAATCTTCTCTTCCTTGGTGTTCTTCTTGCCCAGCGACGCCGCCAGTTCAATCGTTTCCGCCGTAATGGCTTCGTCAGCGTGGCGCGCAGCGAGAAGTTGGGCACGCTTGTGCGAGGCGAGGGATGAGGTGATTGTTGATGAGGCGCGTAGGGCTTGGAGTTGTTTTAGGTCGGCGGGAGTGAGGATGGTCGTGGTGAGAAGTTTGGAAATAGACTTTGCTTCTGGCTCTTCGCTCTTGGAAGTTTCCTTTCCTTCGGTCGATGGGCCGGGTGTGGGCGTTGCACTGCCGAGTTTCGCCTTCTTGCTTGGTCGCTCTTTGTTGTCTTCCTTCTCGTCTTCCGAGTCGCTAATTTGGATATCTTCGCCATCGCTCTCAACGTTGATCCATCCTCCTGAATCGTCGCTGTCGCCGTCACTCTCCACTTCCCACTTCTTCCAGTCGTCCTCGTCATCAAGATCAACGTCGCCATTTTCTGCATCAGGATCCAATCCAGCAGCTTCCAACTTCTTCCTACGCTCTTCTTCCTTCCACTTTTCAAGGAGCTCAATGCCTTCAATCTCGCCAATGGCTTCCTCACCATAACGTCGCTCTTTGATTGTGCCAGCACGAATGCCCATTGTCGCATCCTTGCCACGGTCACGCTTCTTGAGGAGATCGGCACCGACTTCGCGGTAAAGAGAGAGGAGACCCTTAGCAGCCATCATTGTGCCCTTGTCCTTTGATTTACGGTACTGTTACTGTTAGCTTTCGGCGTAGAAGCAAGTAGGATAGGATAGCACATACCATAACCAAGTCTTGTAGTAATGTGTCTGTCATGGCCAGGGGTTGGCGTGCACATATCTCACGAATGGCATTCAATCCTGCCGCAGCCACCTCAGAAGCTGATGCTTCCGACACGAACTCATTGGCAATCTTTTGAACCAGCGGCTCAAGGACATCTGGTGGGACATAGCTATGGGTTGCCTGTGCTAAACACGCGAGGTATGTTGTTACTGAAGCTTGTCGGGGTGTGAGGTGCTTTAAGAAGTACGAATACAACGGCAGGACTGTGAGTTGGTGCAGTCCGACAAGCCGGGTAACAAGTTGTAGGGCCAGAAGCTTCGTCTCGAGGGCAAGCTTATTCTTGGAGTTCTGAATGTGTTTTGAGAAAAGCGTCTCCGCGAAACCCTGTGGGTCGTGAAGCAAATGTAAAGCGCTAAAGTTCAGTGGACTGTAGAGGGTTAGCGCTGGGTAGAAGACATTAGCACCAGGGTACTCACTGTGGCGCATTCTTCTTTTTGTCTTTCTTTTTCATGGTGGCAGCTGCTTGCTTCAGTTCACGCGACTTCTTTTTAGTCTTTTTGTTGATGCCAGCTTGGTGCCTCAGCTTGGCCAAGTCCACCTCGTTATCGTCGTCGCTCTCTTCGGCAGCTGCTTCTCTCTCCTGGTCACCACCAAGGAAGAACCTGACTCCACCCGCGATGGTCTTCTCATTGTCGCTCAACGCAGCCAATCGCATAACCTCGACTGTCCTTGCGTCATTCCATATTTGACGCTTCCACAAGTCCCGTGTGATTTTGACGGCCAAGAAACCGCGCGGTGAAGTGGTATCGGCTTCGAGAAGATTGTACAAAGTTGTCTGCAGCGCTTTGTTGACCTTGTGATTCGTGGCTTTCGCGTTGGACGATCGAATGTCTGAGACTATTTTCTGGAAGAGCAAAGTTCGAAGGGACTTTGAATTTGTTGTAATGAGGATAGGAAACAGCGTGTTGAGGAGGGTGACCGAGTCAATCACTTCCTTGTTTTTAAGCAAGCAGATGGCACCCACGACCTTATCGCGCAGATCCATCTCAAGGACTTCATGGTGTGTGGACAACAGATCTATAAGACTCTGAGGAAATTCAGGTAGGGTCAGATCAGGGTATAGATTCGCCGTGTGTGATACAAATTCTATGAGACTTGAGAAACAAAGTCAGCGTTCTGCCCCACACAGCATCCATGTGGTAGACATACTCTTTCAGTGCGACCAGTCCTCCATCCGTAGTTGAAGGATCCGCAAGGAACAAATCAAGCAGCGTCCGGTACTGCTGATACTGTTGCTCGAAGTCATCCCTATAAGATTGGGGGTCCCTCTTCAGCTTGAATCTGAGCGCGGCATGGTCAGACTCGAGCTTCTCCAAAGCGCCGACTTTGCGCTTCATGGTAGTGGGCTGAGGTTGGTCGGTAGACGGGCTGACGGTGGATTCTTGTAGGCAAAACTTCACTCGGACCGGGCAAGAAGTTTAGAATGGATCGGCGGTCTCGTACGGCAAGCAATGTGTACTGGACAACGTGGTTCACTCGCGCCGTTGTTGCGCCTCGTTGACTTTGCGACATAGAATTTTAGTGGGGCCATGCCACCAATTGGCTGGGTCGGGCCGACACTAGATCCGAGGAGCTTTGGCCTCCTTCACCGTAAAGATTTCACGATGCTCGACAGCCTGCGCCAGCTTTCTCCCGCCGCGCAGTTTCAACTGGCGCGCACTCTTCGACAAGCTCTGCCTGAATCCTGTATTAGACATCCTGATTCGAGGTCAGCTTCTGCATCCTCGAACGACAAACACGGCAGCACTACTGGGGCCAGCGCCCGCCGTCGCCCACCATGACTAGCTTCTCTTCCATGTCGCTGTACGCCTTGACGGTGAAGCAGCCCACAGCGACACAAGATGCCATTTCTGGTGACTTCCTCGGAAACGGCAAGCAGCAGATCCTTACTGCGAGCGGCTCCCGGCTGGCCATCCTCGAGGTTTCGCGGCGGCAGAAGGGCTTCCAAGAGCTCTACTCGCAAGATGTATTCGGCATCATCCGTCGCATTGCCAAGTTCAGGATTGCGGGCGGCACCAAAGGTATGTCGGGCACCCTTCCCCGCTACAAGCAGTATAGTGATTTTCAAAGCACACGACACCTTCGAGCTCGCCGCTCCCTGAGCCCGCGGTGGACTGGACTGCGTTTCCTACTAAGAAGCCTTGCTGACTCTGTAAGACCACATTGTCATAACCACCGACTCTGGACGTTTGGTTACGTACGAGTACCTTCCTGATGAGCACACCTTCAAGACGCTTCACTTCGAGACATTCGGCAAGTCTGGAATACGACGTGTCGTGCCAGGCGAGTACCTGGCAGCCGACCCGAAAGGGCGCGCTATCATGATTGCCTCGACGGAGAAGAACAAGCTGGTCTACATCCTCACCCGAAGTGGTCAGACCGATATTGCCATCTCCTCTCCACTGGAGGCGCACAAGCCCCAGACACTTGTCTATTGTCTTATCGGTCTTGACGTTGGCTACGACAACCCCATGTTTGCAACGCTCGAAGTGGATTACTCGAATTCCGAGACTGATCCTACGGGCGAGGCTTACGAAGAGATCAAGAAGGAGCTTGTGTACTATGAGCTGGATCTGGGTCTAAACCACATTGTACGAAAGTGGTCAGAGCCTGTCGACCGCACAGCGAATACTCTCTTCCGGGTACCCGGAGGCCCAAGTGCGCCGAGTGGTGTATTGTGCTGTGGAGAGGACAGCATCACATACCGTCGCATCTTCAACAACAAGTCAAGCGTTCGCCGCTTGGCAATTCCACGCCGCGAGGGTGCTACTGAAGATCCTAACCGGAAGCGTATGATTGTTGCTGGTACTCTATACTCTCTCAAAGGTGGCGACTTCTTCTATCTTTTGCAGACAGAGGATGGTGATGTCTTCAAGCTTACCGTTGATGCTCCCAACGGCACGGTCGAGAACATCAAGATCAAGTACTTTGATACCATTCCTGTAACGACAAGTATTTGCATTCTCCGGGCGGGTTTCGTCTACGCTGCGTGCGAGTCTGGAGACCGCATTTTGTATGAACTGGAGTCGCTGGGTGACGAGACTGATGACCCAGTTTTTGAAAGCAGTCAGTTTCCTGTTGACCCGGAAGCCTCGTTTGCACCTCCGTTCTTCCGTCCTCGCGCTCTGGTCAACCTCACTGCGGTAGAGGCTATGCCAAGTCTTAACCCGATTATGGATATGGAAGTTGCCAATCCTGCATTGGAAGATGCGCCTCAGATATACACAATCAACGGTACAGGTGGCCGAAGTTCTTTCCGCACCACGAGGAACGCGTTAGAGGTCTTGGATCTCATCGAGTCTCCTCTACCACAGAACGCTTCTGATGTATGGACAACGAAGCTGACTAGCGAAGACGAAACGGATACACTCATTGTCCTTTGCCTCCACAGCAGAACACTCGTCTTGAAGATTGGGGACGATGTTGAGGAAGCCTCCAACACTGGTTTCCTTCCAGATACAAACACTCTTGGTGTACAGCAGTTTGGCGAGGATTGCATCATCCAAATCCACCCCAAGGGTATCCGTCACATTCAGGGCATCCAGTTTCCCAATGACGATGCGAGCGCAACACACGCCAGCCTGACTGATTGGCAACCTCCTGCCCACCGCACCATTGTAGCTTGTGCAACCAACAACCGCCAAGTCGCAATCGCCCTCAGCTCTGGTCAGATTCTGTACTTTGAGTGTGATTCTGATGGTTCGCTTGCCATGGCGGAAGAAGAGATTGTCTTGGAAAGCACCATCAACTGCCTTGCGATGCCCGATGTCCCAGAGGGTAGCGTACGAGCCTTCTTCCTGGCTGTTGGCTGCAGTGACCAAACGGTCAGGATCTACAATCTGAGTCCTGACATGGAGGGCAACATCTTGCGAAGCATCTCTGTCCAAGCACTTACATCACCCCCAAGCGATTTGACCATCAACCTTATGACGGACAAGTCGTCCCGTGGGTACAGCCAATTCCTTCACATTGGCCTGCGAAGTGGTGTGTACATTCGATCGGTACTGGATGAAATGACTGGTGATATTGGCGATACCCGTAGACGCTTCCTCGGCCCTGAGCCTATCAAATTCGCAAAGGTCACTGTTGCCGGTGAGCCCGCTATTCTGGCAATGACTTCGCGGCCATGGCTAGGCTACACTCATCCTCGCACCGGAGTCTTGCAGCTGACGCCACTGAACTACATTTCATTCAAGTCCGCATGGAACTTTGATGGCTCACAATTCAAGGGAATAATCTGCGTGAGCGCTAATGAGTTACGGTAAGCAAAACCCTTCTTTTTTCCCCATGATTGCGATGATGAAACCTTGTACTCCTTAAACACGATGAGGGTTCAAACCTTTTGGTTCCAATTGTTCCTACTGAACGCAGTCACCTGCACAGCATTGTTATATTGATTGGCTTGGAGAATAGTTGCTAACTACGCCAGAATTTTCACGTTCAACGATTTGACGGACAATACCACTTATGAAAGTATACCATTGAAGTACACCCCTAGGAAGATGGTCGGATACCATGACCAGGGCGTGTTCTACGTAATTCAGAGCGATAACAACACCATTAGTGCTGATCGAAGGCAACAGCTAATTGCACAAAGCTGTGGAAAGAAGGAGGACGGCACCAATGGTTCAATGGAGACTGAGCAGTCCAATGGTGCAGCTGACAGCGACGAATTCCCTGCAGTAGACTTCGGTTATCCAAGGGCTCAGGGCAGTTGGGCATCTTGCATCCAAGTAGTCGATCCCGTCACTGAGAAGACGGTCACTCACACTGTCGAGCTCAACGGCAACATATCCCTTGTCAGTGCCGCTCTAGTTTTCTTTGAGAGCCGTAACGATGAAGCATTCCTTGCTGTTGGTACTGCAAAAGACCTGAGCTTCACACCATACAAGTTCTCGTCTGCCTCGATCCAGATATACAAGATCAACCCAACTGGCCGCGAGCTGGAGTTCTTCCACGAAACTACTGTCAGCGATCCACCTCTGGCATTACTGGCTTTCAAGGGCAAGTTGCTCGCTGGTGTCGGACGTCACCTATGTCTTTATGATTGCGGTATGAAGTCAGTCCTACGCAAAGCTCAGGCACCCAACTGTGTACCGACACGCATCACGGGTCTCAAGACACAGGGTAGCCGATTGGTCGTTTCCGATCAAGCACAGTCGGTCACGTACGTCGTGCATAAAGACCAGGTTCACCCTAATCGCCTGATCCCTTTCGTTGATGACACCATCGCTCGACATACCACGGCCTCAGAGATGCTAGACTATGACACCACTGTGGGCGGTGACAAGTTTGGCAACATCTGGCTTGTGCGCTGCCCACAAAAGGTTTCCGAATCTTCTGACGAGTCGCCAGACGGCTCTGATCTGCTTGTCGACAAGAGCTATCTTGGCGGTACTCCTAATAGGCTCGACCTGATCGCACATTACTTCACCAATGACATCCCGGTGTCAATACAGAAGACAGTCTTGCTATCAGGTGGTGAACGTGTCGTTTTCTGGGCTGGTCTTCAAGGCACCCTTGGCGCTCTCATCCCCTTCAACTCACGCCGTTCACACAAGATGTTCCAGCAGCTCGAGCTCCAACTTCGCTCTGATGACAAGCCACTGTCCGGGCGCGACCATCTCGCTTTCCGTAGCTACTTTGCACCTGTCAAAAGTGTCATTGATGGCGATCTCATTGAACGCTTCCTAGTTCTTCCCCGTGACAAGAGGGAGAGCATTGCTGGTCAAATTACTGGTTCGGAATGGACTCCCAGCCAGATCGATGAGTCCATTTGGAACATGAGGGGCTTGTACGCCTTCTAGAAGACGCAAAGATCTACTTTCAATCTTTGCCTACAATGGCGTTTGGAGCTTTTAGGTTTGGGGAAACATCCATGCTTTGTCCTGCGCTTATAGCGTGCCTTTAGTGAAGCGAGCAGTAATCTGTACTAGTAGATAGGCATGTAGGTCGCAATTGACCATATGATACCCAGAATATAGCTTTCCGTGTCCTTGTTCTTGGTCAGCGTTGGCAGTGGGGTCTGTGGACGTGACGGGCCTGTCCAGAAGAGGCGGTGGGTACTATCTTTTCTCGGTCACAGGATAACAGTGGCAATAGGTGTAAATTTTGTTACGTACTGTGCATACTGAGTAGTGACACAGACACTAGCCATGTTTGTTCGGTATGGCAAACTCCCGATTGGGGTATAATTTTCCATGCTAATCCTTCCGACCATAAGACCAAGATTATTAATGCTTGGTTCTCCGATGAAGCCAAGAAGCTATGATTACAGCAACATGTTTATGCAGGAGGCCGTATTTTGACGTGGGGCGTCGAGTTCAGCTGGGGGTGTGAATGGATGATCTGGAGTGCTAAACTTTGGAGGAAAGCAAGGACCTGATCATGGCCCGAGGCATAACCATCCAAGCCACAACGCGGCAATTGTCCGTCCCGTAGCTTCTTTTTTTTTCGCACTTGAGGGACTGAAAAGCCATTCTTATCTACTCGTGAATCGCCTCTTCAAATCAACAGTGAATCCCAAAAACCATTGAAAGAAATCCTTCAAATCCCAAATCCCAGACTGTCGGTCGTTAACCTAATCCCTGACCCGCTGAACCTCTGCCCCGGGAATTTGGATCGTCACCGCCCATTCGGACCGAAGAAACTGAACAGCACCAGAAGAAGAAGAGCAACAAAGCAGCACAAAAAGAACCAAAAAGAAAAACGAAAATCAAGACTTCAGCATGGCCGCAACACCAGCAACCAAATACCCCGTTGTGCTCGTCACAGTAGCGACGCGCAAGGAGGGTGTCACGCGAGCAGAATTCTACAAGCATAACGAGACGTACTATGCACCTCTGCTCGAGCAAAAAGCAGGAAAAGTGCACCCGCTAGCCTGGAACCGACTGTACCACGTTGACGAATCAGAAGCGCCCATAGGGCTGTCGCGCGTGCTGATTGGTAGCGACAGCGCCGACGACGTCTTCGACTGGGATTGCAAGGGCGAAATGGTGTTTGCGGATGAGTTGCATTTGCAGCAGTTCATCACGTTTATGCATTCCGAGGAGGCGCTGGTTGTGCTGGCTGAGGAGGAGAAGTTTGCGGATCCGACCAAGACCAAGCTTTTGGTGATGAAGAGGGGTGGATGTGAGATTGGATTGTAAGGGGAGAGATGTGTGGTGTAGAATATGGAAACTGGGATGGGAGAGGAGAAACTCTTTTTTTATTGGGGGGGGGGGGAGTGTTTTCCTTGCGGGGGTTTTTTGGGACAAAAAATTCATGAGAAAGGTGTTCTTTTGGTAGGATTTCTGGATTTTGGGACTGGGTTTGCTATGCGTGTTTGTGTGCACGTTAATAGTATGTTCGAATATGTGTGGAAAGTTGAATATGAAGAGATTGGTGGTGTATGGTTTAGGAGGCAAGACATACGTTTAACTGGAATCCATTGCATGTTGTTTGCAACAGGATGTTGCATAGTAGGACCAGTAGCACACAACATGTACATGACGACTTTCTTAGTAATGAATGAAATCGAAATAGCACCGAACTAACCGTAATAACACGAATTCTTGGTTGTAGTCATATGGTTACAATTCACGAACGTACATCTTACATGTTAAACAAACAACATGCTTGTGTCCGACTTCAAGGACGTGCCAATTAAAGCCCCAGCCGAATGCCCGCGCAATTGACCAAAGCAGCTTGTCCCGTTCCATGTTTCTAGTACCTTTAGTCTTACCTTCAAGGTGTCATGAATCCCAAAAATACTTGAAGTGCAAAAAGTGTAGCAAGGACCATGTGATCTAGCTTCTTCCCAGGGGCCAGGTTTCTCGACTCAGCGTATTTCTCCAAACTATACCCATTGGAACCCGCAATGACCACGTCAAATTCCCACTCTCTGTATCCAATATTCTTGGCGCCCTCAATACGAAGTGGCTCCCCCCACAGTGCGCACTTGATAATTGTTCGACTTGTAGATTCCCGGCATTCGGGACCGAGCCGTATGGCAGGCGCCCGCTCGAAGTAGGTGTTGAAACCCTGGCAGATTTGGTCGTGGCCAGGTTCCGTGCCCCTGGTATCCGTGTTCCTATACGACTTTGCGACGATTGGGTTAGCATCTCGGGTATTCGACTCGTTACTGCTAGGGCCATCGCTAGGCAGATTAGCTAGCTTGCCCCATTCATCGCATCTCCTAGCACACTCGAGTGTATCAAAGGACTTTAGTTCGTAGTGACCGAGGTAATGGCTGCCGACGAAGGATCCGTTAGCGGAGACAAAGCTTTCGATGTAGCCGGGGGGAATTGGGGCGTTCTCTGCCGCATGGCGTATCTCTGGCGAGTAGTAGAATCCCCGCATTTTGTCGTATTTCGGAATAGGGCCGTAACCTGATGGCTGCGCCTCGCAGTCACCATGAGTTCCCCGAGTGGCTATAGGTGTAGGAGGCGGCCCAGTAGATTCAGGAGACCTTGGCAGAGTAGCTGTCACGCTCACAGTGCTGGGAGTTGGGATGCCTATAGTTATAGACGCAGCACGAAGCTCGCTATACAGTGACTTTTCCTTTAGAGAATTCGCCATCTCCATGGTGTTCCAATAATGAGTGTGCGGCAGCGGCTTTGTCCACTGAGAGAAAGCTGTTACGCTCATTGCGTTGATGTTCGAAGGCGTCGTCATGACGGCGGTGGAAGGTTTGATATGAAAGTGTCGTCTTTTTTGAGAGACAGCTTTCCATATCCAATTGCCATCGTAGTACGGTAGCGATCCAAACTGTCCGCTCGGCACCACTGTAGTGCAAAACCACTGTTATAGTTCGTCCATGAAGGACATCTGAGATCAGCAGAACATCACACTTACTCTGTGATCATTCAAAATGCACATAATCACATTCTGCACCCTAGGATAGCGAAGGTAACGCAGGTTCGGAAACGAGGCGCATCTTGTCGGTGAAGTTGAACCCGCCCTAGATGAGGAATGATGCTATCAGTAAAATCTTTACTTACCTAAGTATAAAGAGCCAGCGAGTAGTTCAGAAGTCTGCACTGTATATTTCGTCAAAATTTCATAGGCGAATATCAGCAATGAACAGATGGTCTGATATCGTGTGTTGTTGGTGTTGTTGTTGGAAGGTTCTCGAGTGAGGAAGTTGCTGCATGCTGGAAGTGCTAACACGACATTGCTCACGCGTCCACGTCGGCCAACCACCAAACACTCGCTCGATTCATCCGAAAGAAAAGAAAAGTCTGTCGAATCCCAGGATTGAGGTCAGGGATATTGAACAACTTTCATGTGCGCAAATCCGACGTGTTGGCACTAACCCGCATTCCCCAAGCCCGTGGTTATCATACGATCGTACGACCTTGACGAGCAAAGTCACCCCACCCGCATGCCGGGGCAGCCCGACACGCACCCTCCTCAGTCCCATGTCTCGCCACCAATACCTCTGCAGCCCTACAGTGATAGTCACACATCACCCGACATATCCTCAAGCAGCCAATAGCATTATACGTTTTATTTCAAAGTCTCACGATCAGCACCCCCGTCATTCCTATCCCTCGCGCTGGGATGCGCCTAAATGCTTTTCCTGCTTCCTGATTCCGGGCCTTGGGTATCACGCAACGCAAAAGATGGGGTTAGCAAATGGATGCATCGGGCGGTAAAGAACCGTGTAGGCAGAGACAACAGGCAATGGGCCAATATGACGATTCTCATGAATATAAAGAATGTTAGTGTTCTCGCTTTGTGTTACTTTCATCCACCAAGGTCACATTCAATCATCTACATCATCAACAGTGATACACATTATACCTCTCCATCTATCAAAGTCACAAACACCAGCCAAAGAAAGAAAGATAGAGCCACATAGACTAGATCGACAAAGTTCAACACCACAAAACACCCTATATAACTCAATTCCACACCACCACAACCACAACCATGCCTGCAGCAGCAAAGTCCTACCTCCCCGCCTTTGCCGCCTTCATGGGTTCGTCTTTCCCCCCGTCCTTACCACTCTCCATCCTCTCCCCCCTTTCCCCACAATAGCTAACACCCCCGCCCAGCCTTCGGCCTAACCTACACCACCATCGTCGCCTCAAAAGAAGGCGCCGCCGTCGACGGCGCCCGCACGCGTTGGCAACAGCAACACGCACGAGCCCGAAACGCCTTGTCTGGCGGCATGGCGGCGCTGAGCGAGAGCAAGTGAGAAAGGAAAGCGCTTGGGTTGTTTCAGCACCACATATATCAAAAAAGGGGCGCTGTTTGATCATTCTTCTTTTTACTTTCTTGTCGATATTCTTGTTAGCGGTATTTAAGGGTCAAGGGCGTTATAGCTACTATTAGGGTTCTAGAGTTGGAAAAAGACAAACCAAAGACTCGGAGAGGTTTTTTTTCTTCTCTTTCTCTTTCTCTTTCTCTTTTGGGTATTCGATGAGGTAATGCAATATCATGTTTCGTTTCATGATTGAAAAGATGAGATTGTGAAGGGGGAGAAGACGAATGAGGTGATGAGGTGAGATGAGATAAAATTTCCGCCTGTGCTTCATGTATGTACAAGCATCTTGTTCGTATTTTAATAACTCTTGTGTGTATCAAGTTGACTACCTTGTCCTTGTATGTCAAGACTTCAAGGCCACTAGATGGACTAAGGTATGCACCCTACTCATATTGTCTTCGACCACTCAGTCCTCAATGCATAGCGTAATCACACACACACACACACACACACACACATAATTCAACAATACCAAGCGGCTCTTAAACATTGGTACTAAATTTGAATTTCTCGCAAGTGTCTACATACACACCCTCCAATCATGGACAGTCTATGTGTCCCTATTCCATCTTATCCATCCATCCCCACTTGACCTCGGGGCCAGTAAGATATCTACAAGAAAAACCCAATACCATTAGAACGCCTTTGGAAAGGATTGATGTACGCTTGATACCGTTGCGCAGTCCCCGAAATGAACAAAGGAAAATAGCTATGCACGCTCGCTGCGGTTCGACCCAAGTCGCACCTGGGCAAAGCCGACTTGGGTATAAAGAGTAACAAAAGGAATCGTCCAATCATGTGTAAAGCAGTCTAAGAAATGAAGCCACGGGAAATTGTACGGCTTGGTCGAAGCGTCAAGAAAGTCAAATTGAAAAAAAGTCCGTATACATTCGCAAAGGATTATGAGTCAAGCATTGATGTGATGTCGGATATTCTTTGCATGACGGTGTTCATGGCAGCAATCTTCCTTTCTAGACGCTCTGCAAGACGTGCCTCGTTGGCCTCATCGGAAAGGACGAGTGAGTAGTGTGCAAAAACCTTCTCGGGATTGGTGAAGAGAACCTCTTGCTCCTCGAGTGGGGCGGAGGCAGCAGTGGTGCAAGGAGGCGAGGAGTAGTAGAGTTCATACTCGTCATCTTGTTCCTCAGCCTCGTCAACGGGTGCGACAGTGGGCTGTGTAGATTGAACAGGGTTCTTGATGACGGGGTAGTCGGCCTTGATCTCCTCAACAGACACATCATCCTCAGCGTTGAAGATGGCGCTGTATCCCTTACCGGACATGGCTTGGGTGTCGAGAGGGTTGGAGGGACCCTCGGGAAGCTCGGTAACGACGAAAGCAACAGGCTGCTGGAAGTTGAAGCCATTGTTGACGTTCCAGTTGGGGTTGGCGTTGTTTGAATTGTTCAAGTTGAGCATGGCAAAGTCAATCTGGGGTTCAGGAGCCATAGTCATGCTAACTTGGGGGTTCTCGGGCTGCGACATGGCGTTGAACTGCGGCTGGAAGGCAGGAGCGGGGGCAGTGCTAACAGCAGCGGAAGAAGTAGACATGTTAGTCATTGGAGCCTTGATCTGAAGAGACTCGTCGCGGGACAGCTCCTCGAGGAAGGGAGTGAAGGCCTGGTGGCGGAGAAGGCGCTCGATGAATGCGCGCGAGCGGGCGTTCTCCTCCATAAGAAGACGGTTCTGGGCGCGGAGCTCGTTGGCCTCGTTGACCTTCATGGCGACCTCACCTTCAAGTTGGCCAATGTATTCTGAATGACGTTAGCTGAGATTGTACATAGATGTATCGATGTTTATGCTTACCCTTTCTCCTTGAGCGGAAGGCGCGCGCAGAGACCTTGTTGCGCAGTTGACGGCGCTCCTTGGAGCTGAGCTTCTTGCCCTCTTCGGAGGCAAGTAGCCTCTCATCCTCGTCCATATCCTCTTCGTCCTTCTTGGCGCGGATGATGTGGGGGAGTAGACCCTGGTTGTTGTCTTGCATGGATGTTGAGGCGTTTTGGCTGTCGGCTCGGATCTGTGCGACAACGCGGGTGATCATCTCTTCAGTGTGAGCATCACTAAGCGGGCTTGAAGTCTTGCGGCTGGCCTGGCTAGTGGAAGGCAGACGGGACTGAGGTAGTTGCTGTTGCTGTTGCTGTTGCTGTTGTTGCAGGGCTTGCTGTTGCTTCTGGTGGGCCAACTGCTGTGCTCGCTGCTGTTGAGCCTGCGCCTGCGCCTTGGCCATAGCAGCTTGTTGCTGGTGCATACCAGGCCATACCCTGACGTTAGGTACCTCCTCTTGAGTGATGGCGCTGGGGTCGACAAAGTCGTCTTGGGAGCCTTCGTTGAAGACAAAGCTGTTGCTGCGGTAGTCGATACCCATGTTCATGGGGACTTCCATGGGGAGTCCGCTGTTCCATGCGCTACCGTCCATGATTGAATCGCCTCCCATCATGGCCATTTCGTCGAGGCCGGAGGAGGAGAAGAGAGGAAAGCCGGTGTTGTAGTTGGGAGCAAGACCGGCAATGGATCCAGAGGGAAGGCCGGTCTGTTGCTTGAAGCGTTCGTACTCGTGGCTAGGCTTTGCTGGAGTCTGAAGGTCGTCGTCGATGTTGGTGCTGGTCGGGCTGCCCATAGCCGACGTAGCACTCTGTTCACGCTTGAGGGTGGTGGGCTGGGTGGGCGAGGGCATCTGACCAAAGTCGAAGAACTCGTTGGGATCGACGCACTGATTAGATAGGCTGTTGAAGGGCGCCATCGACATGGCCGGTTGAACTGCGGTAGCCATGTTGTTTGTTTGACTACTGGGGAGTCGCGGCTGGGTGTTTGGGCGGCCCTTGGGCAGACAAGGTCGTGTCTTGGGGACGTCGCGGTGCGGGCAGTGGAAGGGCGACAGGAGCGGTTAGGCTGGCTAGAAGTCGTCGTCAGCTCGTTTCTGGGCCTTGTTCAAGCACGGAGGATGGGAGCCGGAGGGTCCGCACCTTGGGGGAGCGTCTGTGTGCAAAGGGGGTTCTGAAGTGTAGGCGCAGATGGAAAGTGTCGACAATAAGAGTTGAGCGAGGGATGACGGGCGGATGTGCGGAAGTGTCGGAAGGAAAAGCAGGAGAAGAGGATGTGTCGAGTTGGCAGGTAGGCAGAAGAGAAGGGAATGGGTGGGCGAGGGACGGGCGCAGGTCTTGCTTGTGCTGGGGGGGCTCCACCGCCCGTCGGGGAGGCGTTTCACAATCGAGGCGGAGTCTCTGGCTGCAAATAGCAGGACAAGGCCGGCGCCGGTTGGTCAAGGCCGTGGGCGATCAACGCCTACCAAGCGTTGGCTGCCGCCCTGGTCTGCCGTCTCCTGAGCGCCGGGAATACCCCCAACGCTCCTTGACGCCACGGCCGAGCACATGGACGATTGGGACGACACGGACAAGTGGACAAGCCGACCCTTGTTGCGCTGCTGCTTGCACACAATCTTCATATTACAGACATTCGTCCCATCTGCCCTCGAATCCAGCACACGATATTGCACTACGCAACTCTATGCACCCTCGGCCTCGCGGCGCCGACGCCGATGCTTGGTGCAGCCAATCAAGGGCCGCCATGGTGCACCACCACTGAGGCTGTGCTGTCATGTTTCTCGCGCTAGCCGCTTCGGGGTCAGCGTTGCGGCAATTCCTGCTTTGGCAGTCAGCCAGTCAGCCAGTCAGCCACAGCGGAACGGCATGTCGGCATGTCGTCGCAGCGCTTCAGCCACAGCCATCACCATCGTCTGACACGCCAACGCGCGTTTACGCTCATATTGCATATGCGTACTAGTAAGTAGTATGTGCTACATTACACAGTATTTACACCCATAGTACATACAAATACTCGCACACGCTTTACTTGCACCCCGCCCACCCTATAGTTCTTTATCAGCTTGCCAATAGTGCTGTCTCTGGCTCCTTCCCTCATCTGGGCTGTTCACACGCCACCGTGCATGGTTGGATGGCGGCTGCCTAAGCCGCCCGCCGGAACGGGGTTGTGGTGCACAACCACACATTGCATTCTTCACATGGCCTCACCGGCTCCAGCGGCAGTCGAGAACTAACTATGTGCAGTACAGTATAGTATGTGTGATGGCAGTCGCAGAAACTTGCGCACCCTCTACAAGTCGCTGATCTTTTCATTGGTAGTGTGAGAGAGTTGCGAAACGCCCGTCGCCGGTCAACCACGTCGAAGCTGCCACTTTGCTGACTACCGCGCGGAGCTTGCCGTCCAATGGAACCTCACATCTTTCTGCTTGGGCATCCGGCCACCCTGGGCCATAGCTTGCCCATGCCATGTCCCGTCCATCTGCTTCATCTCAACAACGCTCGACTGCATTAAACGGCCTACTTGCTCTTCATGTTTTGCATTTGCACTGCACTGGCTTCATCGCAGCATGCACTGCGCCACTTGATCCTGCAAAGTGTTAGACACTCACATGAGGGCCGATGACGCGGCCTATGTCCAAGTCCATCTGTCAGTATGTACGTGTGGATAAAATTAGGAACAACAAGCCTCCGACTTCGCGAAGATGAACAGCACAAGGAAGTATGCTGCCATACTCACACGCTAATCCTATACGCCGGCTGACATCCCTCTTGGACGGCGTAAGGCTATACTTGCCTGTCCATCTCTGTCCGACAAGGCTGACATCCTTCTTGGCCGGCCTTATTCCTTCTTCCGCAACCTCCTTGGGAACGTTTCTGGACGGCACTTGCCATGCAAAAAGCCTCCCCCCTGGCTGTGATCGTCCATGTCGTCATCGCCCATTGGAGTTTCCCTCTGTGGAAACTCCCTCATCTGCGCCTTCCAGGAGAGCCTGTCGCTGCATTCCATCATTTTACTACTGTCCTGTTGCTCTGCTCGTTTCCTCATTTGCTAATCACCTCCATCTAGCCCACATGTCCTTCCCCATCCAACTCCTATTTTTATTTCACCACATTTCTGTTCCTTGTTCCCCGGAGTCCCTCCACCTGCACTATAATAGTGGAACATGGCATATCGTCAACTTGTCCACTTATCCCTCACATCCAAATTTCGCTCGCCCTGTTCCATGTGCATACCAATCAACAACACCCATCAACACTGTCCACCCACGCCGCCATCAAAAAGCATGTATATCTTGCTAACGGCCATGCTTACCCCTTTGCTTATTCGGCCCGTATCCAAACCCTAACAGAAGCATTCTTCTTCACCCTGAAACCCCTGCAACTCCGTTCCTGAGTGGGATAGCCCTCAGCCCGAACAGGTGACAAGACAAGTCTGTTTCACCACCTCCCCCTAAGCCTGTATCAACGCCCGTCCTTTGACACCACTACCACTCA